TGCATTCCTGGAATTTCCAAGTCAGAGACATGAATTGACTCTGGATTCCCATAGCTTTGGTACCATCGCCTTTTTCACCACCATCATCATCACCACCAAAACAACAATCCTGTTTTATTGTGAACAGAATCCTCACATCTTCTTTCACTGATTTTCAAAAACAACTGAAGAGGAGGATAGAATAGATACTCTTCTTAAAGTATGACGTACAAACTGGGCCCTCAGAGGGTAACTGTCCTAACCACGGTCACCAAAGGTATCAGCAAAAGTGTCCGGATCTCTGCCAGAGGTCCATGAGTAGCTCCATGAGGGAGACCCTACTCCTGACTTACAACCTCCTCCAGCACCTAGAAAATGATCACCTCAAGTATTGTAATTTTTTTAGACCAACAGGATTCTTGTTATTTCTAGCAAGTTCCCAGGAAATTCAATGTCATTAGGCAAGGACAGTATAGACCCTGTAGACTTAACAACGTACAGCAGAAAGCAGGGAATGGCATAGGCAACTTTTCTTTAAAAGAGAATCTAATTGCCCTACTGTATTCTTACTGCTTTTCTCTTCTAACTAGGTATTCATTCCATAACACTCACAATCCTCTGTCAAGCAGCAAGGCCACTGTCAAGCATAAAAGTTTAAGTCCACAAATGCTGCTCCCATAAAGTCTATCAAGAAGAAAAGATATGCTATACACTGGAGACAAAAGAATTAACATCTGTTGATTATAATTAAGGACTGAATCATTTACAACTGGATCTACTGAATCGCTGTAACAGTTATATGATGATGAAGGCTGAATCTCATGGAGAAACTATGACTTTTATCCAAGGTTCCACAAAAGGTGACCATTAGAACTCAGACTGATGGCCAGATCTCACTAAAAAATACATATTTTTTACACCACATCACACTGAATCCCTCAAGGAGAAATAATATATAGCAGGAGGAATTTTTTTTTTTTTAAATCCATAAGAGAAGTTCAGAAGAATGGGGACAGTTGCTGTGGTGTAGAGGGTTAAGCCACTGCCTACAGCGTTGGCATCCCATATGGGCACTGGTTTGATTTCTGGCTGTTCCATTTCCAATCCACTTCCCTGCTAACATGCCTGGCACAGCAATGGAAGATAGCCCAGGTCCTTGGGCCCCTGCAACCACATGGAAGACCTGAAGAGGCTCCTGCCTCTGGCCTAGCCCAATCCTGAGCCATTATGACCATTTGGGGATGAATCAGCGATCTCTCTCTTTTCCCTTCTCTCTCTCTCTCTCCACACATGGACACACACACACACACACACACACACACACTCATGCTTCAAATAAATCTTTTAAAAAGAGAAGTTCAGAGGAAGTGTTACATGAATTCAGAAAGTCACATTATTTCTCTATACAAACAAAGTTACTAATAACTTTTGCAGCACCAGGTTGTCTTAGGAAATTAAAAATCCTACTAACCACTGAGTAAAAACAGCAAAGTGTTTTCATCACTGAAGTTATAATATGCTGATAAATGCAAACTGTTTCCTCAATGCTTTAGAGAAAACATGATTATATCATAAACAATGTAATCTTTTTCCCATAATTTTAATCCATCAAAGATTTGATTTGGTAACATAATGGAGGCAGCAAAGCACGGGAGAGCTGAACACTGGTATCAAACCAAAAATAAACTGAAGCACCGCAAAGTGACTAAGCTCTAATGTCCCTCCTCACTGCCCCACTTCATGTCTTCCATGCACAGTGTGCCCACCCTGCCTCTGATCTGTTTTGTCTACTGGTAAAATGGACTGCAGTACCAACTTTAAAAACCTATCAAAGTATTAAAACAAAATAGACATCCTCTCCCCTATTTGGCAGGAAAACCCCAATTTAAATGTTCCAAGCCTCCCCCAAGAACAAGCAATTATGAGGTGCAGAAAGGCAATAGCTTTAAAACAACATGCTAATCCTAATATTAGTACCTTGAAAAAGGAAAACTGCCAAGATGTTGGAATAATGCCCAGTTATCCGTCTTACCTACAGCAATAAAACTGTCCTATAAATGTGAACAAGACAGTAAGGATACATTTTGGAGCTAGGTTCCTGGCATTTTTTTTTCCATCTCACCATTCCCTAGAACAAGTCTGACCTAGGGAGACAAAACACAGCAGATGGTAACCCTGCCTGGTACCATGAGCACTTAGTCAATCCAAATAATTCACACAAAAATGAAGCAAGATGTTCAATGATTTATGGCCCTGATTTCACTAGATAATTATGGAATTCTACTCTTCAATAGAGTCACCTTTTTATAGTCACATGCTGGATAGCTAATGTGTCTAAAAACAATACTTTACTCTTAATAATAAAATACTCATTACTAATATAATTATTACTAACAAGAGTGCCAGGCACTCTTGAAAGTATTATTTAGTCCTCATTCCAATCTATAAAATTACTGTACACACTGTACAGACAAAGGAACTGAAAGACAGCAACTAAAACACTAACTATGACACACAGAACCAACTTTCAAATCCAGGAAGTGCAGATCCTGTCCAAGTGCAGAACTACTTGGTATGGGAGTGGGTCTAATCTAATGATTCTGCAAAAAAGCAAAACTAAACTTCATTTACATCGAAAGAGCACCAGACCCAGATTCAGCTGGCCTGAGTTCTAGCCCGGGCTCTTCACTGTGTGACCTCCATGGAGACACCTCTCCGCAACGGTTTCTTCATCTGTGAAATGAAGCTGGAAAGCTTGTTTTTCCAGTTTTCAAGATTTCAGACTCTGACGACAAACACTTCAATCTCAGTTTTACTTAATGACCAGATCATTTTTCTATCATTGTTCAGATCTAGAAACACTGACCATTTGCAGTAGAAATCAGAAGGCAGCAGCAGTTTCTCAGTGGCTCAATGACCCTCAACCCACTCGACGTGTTATAAAACTGCGCTTCCCATCACTGCAGGCTACTTTCTAGTACGTATAAGTCCAACACACACAGGAGGGTCTGAGGCTGCTACTTGCCAGTTCTCGATCCGCATTTTCGATTTAGCAGACGAAGTTAAATGTTCAATGCAGAAACGTTAGCCATGATAACACACATATTCAAATGCCTACAATGTCATCACACACCCCAAAGATATTTCACCAGAAACACACACACTCATTCATTTCAACAGAATTATTCCAATTATGTTTTCCTTACCTAAGACTTAACATACTTCTGTACAGTTCACTTGCACACCAACGGGTAACTGCACACATGAAGATGAAGACCCGAACATCTTTACAGCCACAGCACTGCTGGCAACCACAGAGGTAACCACTGATTTCTAACCTCGACTGAATTATTGTTGGAGAATGCTGGGGGAGAAGAGTTTGGTGTGTATTAAGTACACAGAGAAATCACTTGGCTAACAGACTGGGCTCAAGTGTTGTTGGTAATGAGTTCCCCTCATTTTCTGCATTGCCCTGAAAAGATCTAGGCTGAACTAGCCCTGCTGCAGTCACTTCAGTAAGATGGAGGAACTGATCTGGGTGACCTGGAAGTGGCTACAACCAGGAGGAAAAACTGATGATTATTTGTCGCCTAACAAGCCACATCCTCAAGCTGGCGCTTCCCCAAACAACAGAACCAGTGAGAGAAATGGGGTCTCCTGACTGAAGAACCAGCAGCAATGGGAAGAGGTGGTTGGAGGACCCCCCCCAACACACCCAACACACAATGTGCCCCAAATCCCTCTACCATGAAACAAATTGACTCTCAAAACCCCATATCACTTGATATGTGAACTGCAGAGTCATTAAAATGAAACAAAAACATCTTCAGCAAACACTGCTGCTTTCAATTGGTCTGACCACGGTCTCAGCCCGTCCACGCCACCGTTCCCTGTAACCACACTGCCACTCCTGAATCTCCCTGCGACAGCAGTTCCCTGCCACCACTTCTAAGAATGGTTTTTGAATGTCAATATTCTGGTGAATTTTCAGACGTAGTTATTATTTCTAATGATAACTGAGAAACTGCCCGGTTATATTTTGCTTCTCAAAATTTGATCATGCTAATAACTTTCAAAATACTCACTGAGCAGTTAATAAGAGCCAAACACTGTTCTCAGAGCTTTAACTGTACTAACTCATTTAATTCTCGTAGCCCAACGAAGTAGATACTTATATTATCCTCGTTTTATACAGAAATTAAATAATTGTGTTGCCCCAGGCTTCAGGTAGCAAGTGGCAGAACTGAGATTAAAAGCCGGAATCGGTGCTGGAAAGCCCACCCTTTCCAGCTCACACTTGTTCTCCAGCTAGAAAACACCAGAAATCTGCAGAGTAAACACTGTTGCCGTGCATGCCCTGTTATTCCTGGAAACACTTAATAACAAACTGCAAATAACAAACCGCAATACATGCTCAGTGCAACAAGCCTTCATTTCACAATCCCTATAAGAAATCTGCTTACTTTTGGAAAGGATGGGCTGACTTTAAAAATCCAAACAAAACCTAATTTGTATTTTGATTAACTGTTAAACAGATTATATGAAGTAAACATCAGCATATATCTTCTCTCAAAAAATCACAGGAAGACTCCTTTAAGTTTAAAAAAAAAAACATATTTTTAACAGGAAAAAGACTCCCGTTCCTGAGTTTGACAAATGCCTAACGCCTGAATAATCTGTACCAAAAATCAGATTAGTTGGCATTAAAGTCTATCTATGTGTGTCCTATTTCTACAAGTACTAAAGGACCATTACTGCTCCCTTACTGCCCCCAAGTATTACGATTTTCTAAAGCAATGTTACACACAGGATGGGATTTTTGAATGATATTGCTGAAGGACTGACATAGAGCTTTGAGGTTACCTTAGTTACTCTTTCCCTGATAAAAGTACAGTTACTTAAAGGCAAGCACAATAGCAACCGGACACATGCACAGACACACCACCATATACCCAGTTCAGACACTGACAGTGTTTCTTGTGTTTCCAGTCTTAATGCACTGTGTAGAAAACTACACTCACGGAAATATTCAGCGCCTCTCTTGCCAGGACAGCCTGCAAAAAAAAAAAAAGCCCCCGGATTTGTAAACAAAATCGAGTTCATTTTGAAAAATATGGATCACAAATGGCATGATCCCCTTTAAATATACAAGGAATCTTCAAAAAGCTCATGGAAAACACACATTCTGCAGAAACTGTGCAGACATTTCAAAATTATTTGCACCACAATAAACTGGCTTTTTAATTTTATTTCTCCACAAGCCTTCTGAATCATCCTCAAGTAGTTGAAAAGCAACTCAGGTCATCAGGGGTGAAATCTCGTAATGGCTGAATGTGACACCTAAAGCAATCCCCCCAAAAGGACTACCCCAAAAGGTAGTCCCTGTACACTAGGAGGAGGGCCACGTTCCTCAAAATCTTAAGTCACATGAATCATTAGGTCCTGAAATAGCCCCCAACCCTGTGTCCTACAGGAATTTCACAAAGCCAGACATTAATCTGGGGGTCTGTGCCAAAAATGGAAGGCCCAGCAGGTCGGGGGGTGGGGGATCACAAGAACTGAAACTTTTGGGATGGCAGCCAGGGAAATTCCTTTGACAATCAGTCCTATCTTCACCCTGAGGCTACCTTTCAAAGGTTGAAGTAAGTACTTTCTTTGGAAATCTTTATACATGAAAATGGTTGGAAATAATTACCTAAAGGAAGAATCCTAAGGAAGAAGTAAGAGAAATGAAAGCAAAAGCAAAGATTTTTTTTTAACCAACACTGGCCTTCCACTCTCTCACACTGTTTTTCTCTTTCACATTTGTCTCCTTTAAATTTCTATCAAACCATCCAAAAGTTGTACTTACACAATTTACATTTATTAAATAAAAACTTTCTATAAAAAAATGTCTACCAAACCAAGGCCAAGTCTCCCCCTCCCCATGTCTCCCCATGTTCTATGTGGTGTCACTCAATGAGTGAGACTGGCAGTAATCACATCTTCTGACTCAAGGCTAAGGAGACGCGTCCATCACCTGTAACTCCAGAGGTGACTCTCCGTCTGCCCCTCAGACTGCCTGAGTCACAGCGGAGGACCCAGGGAGAGCTCCATCCCATTATTTGTCTAAAGAGGCGTGGCAATGTTGGGCGTTTTGATAGATACAGCAAAAAAAAAAAAAAAGAGCTTAAAAAAATCAGAAATGTTTATAATATTCTCCAGAACATTCTCATGTGTTTTTAAATTTTTTAAATATATTCAAGTATTATATGACTCTATGACTCTAAACCATGCATTCCAGCCACAGTCTTTCCAACAAACCTCAGTCAAGAACGTCTAGTGATTCAACTTCTGACGGCAACAGATGAAACTTTTTTAATAGAGACTGGGCTTATAAAATACAAGTTACATAAATATTTACCTCCACTTCCATACAAATAGGAAGTGACAAATTCTGTCAATATATCTGGCAATTGAAACTCTAAAATACAAAGTTTGTAAAGATCTCCATTCAAGGCACCTTCCTTTAAAGGAGGTTGCTTGTTACTCTTCTGTGCTTCACGGAAACAGAACAGCAGTTAGCCATGAGGGTGGATTTTCATTTATTTGAATACATCAGTCGGTAGAAGGGGAAATGATATTGGCTGTGTGTTTATGAGCTGCATTAGAAATCTGAACAATAGCAGACCTTTACCAAAACAAAAATAAAATATGAGTCAACAAGATCTTTGCCAAACAGAGGTCTCAGGACAGCCTTGTTCAGCCTTCTGGGAATCCCACTCCAATAAGCGCAATAAAAGCAGGACGTGCCTCATTTCCTTCAGCGCTCACCATGCCTCTCTTGGAGATGTTTGTAAATTTCCTTCCTCTACGCATCAAGCTGGCAAACTGTCGTCATTTCTTCGGGGTAATAATATCCTGTTGATGTCTGGGTAGATCTGTTTTGAGTGTTCCTTCCACATACCACATATACTTTTACTATTATTTTTCAACACAATACAATAAATTATTTTCCCACATATCTGGACACAGTTCAGCAAGGTAGGATTGCAAAGGGCGAACAGTAGGACATTTTAATAAAATGCTAGGTTTTATTTTTGGATTTACAACCTAGATTTAGGTAAAAAAGTAAATTCAATAGTAGAAAAATAAATTCTCTGCTATTTCAGAAGCTAAAAATAGTTCCCTAACACTATTTGAATAATGTAAATATTGTCATTCAACTTCTGTGCTGGAGTTTGGAAATTTCATATAGCAAAAGAGGTACCTTAGCATCAAAAAACTGACTTGTGAAAATGGCAACTTTTATTTTACTGGATATACAAACTGCACCAAGTACTTTTAAGAACAGAAATCTAAATTCATTCTCAAAGTAGGCAGATAGAGCATAACTTCAGTCAAATGTACTGAATGATTAAAACTTACTCTGAATAAATGTTTTTCAAAAAACTTAAGAAGGTATTTGGGCATAAATGTGTACTTCCTGGACAAAACATATTATTACCTAAGCTAATAACTCCTAATAGATTTACATTTCTTAAGAAAGTTACATGCTCTAAAGAGAGAAAATTACAGATGGCAATTTTGAAAAATAATACAAAAAGTGAAAGGACAGACCAATAGTCCATTAATGGAACTTGCAATTGGGCAGACATTCTGGTTGTAAACACAGCAAAAGCTGATTTGTGAAATATTGGAAATAACTGAAAGTGTCTGCAAAGCACACGACTTCACACTAAACTAACTGGCATGCACCACTCACTGCAATTCCAGATAACACCTTATTGAACAGATGATTAAGCATCGTGAACGTGAAAAACGTTCAATGTCATTAATAATCCAGAAAGTACCAGTTTTAATAGGGCACAATCAAACTACTATTTTTGACTACCACATTAATAAGAGAAAAATGACTCATTGGCACAATCTTTCTGGATAGCACTTTGGCAAGGTTGTGAAGAGCCCTGCATCTAGTAATTCCCTAGGAAATTATCCTGATAATATCCTTGCAAATGTAGCCAAGTATTTAGGCACAAGAATGCAGAAGACAGTGGTCAACAAAGGGGAACTGTTTAAATAAATGAAGAAAGAACCATATGATGGAAAATTGTGCTACCTTTAAAAATCAGACTTTCAAAAAATATTCAAGGACAATGTAAAATGTTAAGTTAAAAAGCAATATACAAATTTCATACTAAGTTTCTAAAGGCAACAAAAGACTAGAATTTGCAGTCATTAAAACTTTAACATTATAATGAGGACATGTCATTTTAATCAGAAAAAAATTAAACAAAGATATATTAACTTTGAAAGAAAGGTATATATAGCTTATATAATTTCATAGATAAGTATAAACTTCATTAAATATATAAGGTAAATAAACATAGTATGCATTTTATGTATCATCCCTAACTTCAAGTATCTCAATCTATTATTAAATATTAAAATCAGAGTGAGGATTTCGCACAGCAGTTAAGACCATATTTGGGGCCGGCGCCGCGGCTCACTAGGCTAGTCCTCCGCCTTGCAGCGCCGGCACACCGGGTTCTAGTCCCGGTCGGGGCGCCGGATTCTGTCCCGGTTGCCCCTCTTCTGGGCCAGCCCTCTGCTGTGGCCAGGGAGTGCAGTGGAGGATGGCCCAGGTGCTTGGGCCCTGCATCCCATGGGAGACCAGGAAAAGCACCTGGCTCCTGGCTCCTGCCATCGGATCAGCGCAGTGCGCCGGCCGCGGCGGCCATTGGAGGGTGAACCAACGGCAAAGGGAGACCTTTCTCTCTGTCTCTCTCTCTCACTGTCCACTCTGCCTGTCCAAAAAAAAAAAAAGACCATATTTGGGATTCCCACATTCCATATCACGGTGCCTGGGTTCAAGTCCCAGCTCTGCTTTCATTTCATTTTCTGCAAATGCACTCTGGAAGGCAGCAGATAATGGCACAAATACCTGGATCCCTAACACTCACACAGGAGACCTGGATTGAGTTCCAGGCTTCTAGCTTCAGGTTGGCCCAGTCCAAGTTGTTGCAGGCATTTGGGGAAGGAACCAGTAGATGGAAGATCAATCTCTGTCTCTGCCTCTGTTTCTTTCAAATAAAAATTTTAAAATAAATAATAAATAACAGTATTTGAAAAAATTAAAGTACCTGTGGGTGGGGAATGGGATGCATAGACAATTCAAGAATAGCAGAACACTGGTTGCCATGGAAGCTGGATGACGACCACAAGTGGGGATTTATTCTACTATTCTGTTTACTTTGCACATATGTGAAACTTTTTTCAAGAGAAATCCTTAAAAGAATATCTTCAAAGCAAGGAAAATGGGGTACATGTCATAAGAGTTAAGCCAATGAATACTATAAAAGTTCAGGAGTGAGAAAAGAGCACTCCTGGAGGTGTGGGCAAGTTAAGTACTTGACAGTGGCAGTAAGCACAGTGGGCAGAGTCACACTGGGGAAAGGCAAGGGGCCGGGAACTTTAGGCCAGTGGGTGACTGGCAGCTAACTCACAGAATGTAACTGCTGCCTCCAGTATTAGATACAAGCCCCTGAAGGAAGCTAAAAGAGCAACAGCTTTCAGGTTCCCATTAGGCCACAGGAGTAAGCATCTCACCTTGGTGCAAATCTCCATCTGGCATAAAGAAAGGAAAACAGTATAACTGACCTCTGCAGACTTCAGATCCCACCCTTGCCAAACTACCGCACAGGGATTCCTGGGTAACTCCTCGGCGTTCTTTATTCTCACTGAACATCTCACTGAGATGCAGGCATGATGAAGACCACAGACTAAAAAGCTCATTTACTGAAATAGGGTGCTCATTCCTTATCCTGCAAAGCCCTCAGCTTTGTATTTTTTGTGTATCAACAGACCATCTCCATACAAATGTCCAATTTTGCAACACTTAAGGTACCACAGCGTCTGTCTGAATGAGTCAGAATATATATCACCAAATAGTTTTTTCTAACCAATATTTATTTTTGAAAGTTTTTTTTAAAAGCCCATTGCTTCTTCCAATTTTTCCATAAATATCTAACTACTCTCAAAGCTACCATTAAGATTACAACTGCATTCTGCAGTC